TGCTCGAAAAATCGACGATATTGCCATGTCTACGGATCAGCAAAGCTCTGTTGTTGAGAACAATACGTACACTCTTGATGATATCTTGAATATAACCAATGATGCAACAAGAATGCTCACTGGGATAATCCATTCATTAGCGACTCACGACAGCACTCTGATATCTACTTCAGCAATAACCGATGACATACAAATAGTTTTGGATAGGCTCCTTGAGTTGCATAACAGCTCCAACATATTTAACAGCATCCTCCCGATTTCTTGCAGTGACATACTGGCTGCCTATCCTAGCAGCACTTCTGGCTATTATCACGTTAACAGTCGCCACATTTACTGCAATATGGGAGAGCTGTGTGGCTCTAGTGGAGGGTGGACAAGGATCGGATTCCTTGATATGAATGGTGCTACAAGTGATTGTCCTCCCGGCTTTAGGCTTTATCAAGTAGGAGCAGTCAGAGCTTGTGGAAGGCCAGTAGGTGGTCCAAGCTGTGTATCAGAGATACTCCCCACCAATGGAATAAATTATACTCAAATTTGTGGTCGAGTTACTGGATACCAGTGGGCTTCACCAGATGCAGTTGACACTCGTTTTAGAAGTAACGCTATTCACAATGACATCAATTCATATTACGTTGATGGCGTTAGCATCACTAGAGGGTCTCCTAGGCAGCATGTCTGGACATTCATGGCAGGTGTAAGGGATTCCTCTTACGATGCTGGAAATTGTCCTTGTTCAACTCCACCAGGTGCAACTCAGGTAATACAGTCATTTGTTGGCAATGATTATTTCTGTGAATCTGGGAATCATGCTAACGGTTGGACATATACTTTGTATACTTCAGATCCTCTTTGGGATGGTCAAGGATGTGGTACGCAAGAATTTGTGTGCTGTGCTGCTGCTGGTCTTCCTTGGTTTCACAGAGACTATGGTAGTGCATCAAGTAGTGAAAACCTTGAGCTAAGGTTGTGTGCTGATGAAACAACTGCTTTTGATGATATTCCTATCAGCTATTACGAGATATACGTCAAATAATATGTATATTGACAATGCTCCAAACTCCAAGCTATTAAACTTTATTGCATTTTTTATAGCTCATGCATAATTACTATAGCTATTTATTACCCTGAAAATTATAAATCATTTTTTTTAATTTTTAAAGTTTTTAATAGCTAATCAAAATGAAAGAGGAGTCAATCAATTAATGATTTGAATAATGCATGCCGAATGCTAGCGAATAATTATAGGCCCTTGAAGACTTCGGCTGCTCAGCAAGTAAGGAACTGGTGAGCTTCAAGTACAGGAAGGCTAGACTAGTACAGTCTCTGCCAACCAGTGATGCAGTTTGAGCATCCATTTTGAAATTCTGGGAGTTGTCACAAAATTACCACAGTGACCACACAAAAGTCCAATGAATTTACTTTCATCACTGAGCAATGATTCTCATTGTAGCTATTTGGAGCTATACAGTGGAGTAAACAAATACAAACCCCTGGCCCAGTCTACTTAAAAGTATCAGGATGAATGTAGATGAGGATAAAACCAATCTTTATGAAGTCAATGAGCTAACTGAGTACAATGGAAGTGGATTCTCTAACCTTCCTGAGCCTACTCAAAAGGAGAGAAATGATTCTAACAAATGGAAATTGCTCCTCGTTTGCCTACTCATTGCCATTCTCTTTATTAACATCATCATATTTCTCATGTCAGCTGCGAACTTGTATTATGCTAGCAATGCAGTGCCTGCAGCCTGTCAGACTCAGAACAGCTCCACTGCTGCCACCACTGGATCCCTTACAAGCAGTGAGGGCCCTCTCAACAACTGCAGCATTGTGAATAGCACATGGACAGACAGCTTGATGAGGTACAACATGGCAATGGAAAATAACGTCAACCGCCTTATTAATGCAACACTCAACAACGCTCGAAAAATCGATGATATCGCCATGTCTACGGATCAGCAAAGCTCTGTTGTTGAGAACAATACGTACACTCTTGATGATATCTTGAATATAACCAACGATGCAACAAGAATGCTTACTGGGATAATCCATTCACTAGCCACTCACGACAGCACTCTGATATCTACTTCAGCAATAACTGATGACATACAAATAGTTTTAGATAGGCTCCTTGAGTTGCATAACAGCTCAAACATATTTAACAGCATCCTCCCGATTTCTTGTAGTGACATACTGGCTGCCTATCCTAGCAGCACTTCTGGCTATTATCATGTTAACAGTCGCCACATTTACTGCAATATGGGAGAGCTGTGTGGCTCAAGTGGAGGGTGGACAAGGATCGGATTCCTTGATATGAATGGTGCTACGAGTGATTGTCCTCCTGGCTTTAGGCTTTATCAAGTAGGAGCAGTCAGAGCTTGTGGAAGGCCAGTTGGTGGTCCAAGCTGTGTATCAGAGATACTCCCCACCAATGGAATAAATTATACTCAAATTTGTGGTCGAGTTACTGGATACCAGTGGGCTTCACCAGATGCAGTTGACACTCGTTTTAGAAGTAACGCTATTCACAATGACATCAATTCATATTATGTTGATGGCGTTAGCATCACTAGAGGGTCTCCTAGGCAGCATGTCTGGACATTCATGGCAGGTGTGAGGGATTCCTCTTACGATGCTGGAAATTGTCCTTGTTCAACTCCACCAGGTGCTACTCAGGTAATACAGTCATTTGTTGGCAATGATTATTTCTGTGAATCTGGGAATCATGCTAACGGTTGGGGATATACTTTGTATACTTCAGATCCTCTTTGGGATGGACAAGGATGTGGTACGCAAGAATTTGTGTGCTGTGCTGCTGCTGGTCTTCCTTGGTTTCACAGAGACTATGGTAGTGCATCAAGTAGTGAAAACCTGGAGCTAAGGTTGTGCGCTGATGAAACAACTGCTTTTGATGATATTCCTATCAGCTATTACGAGATATACGTCAAATAATATGTATATTGACAATACTCCAAGCTATTAAACTTTATTGCATTTTTATAGCTCATGCGTAATTACTGTAGCTATATTTTACCCTGAAAATTATTTTTTAGATTTTAAAAGTTTTTGATAGCTAATCAAAAGGAAAGGAGGAGTTATAAATCAATTAATAATAACTATTTTGAATAATACACTTGTAGTGCTGGGCGATATTGAAAATTTTGAAACGATACGATATGATACGATATTGCCTAAAAATGAGGATATCGATATTTTTTATCGATAAGTTATTAAGCCACACCCATTAACTTTAATATTACTAAAATGGCTAAATAAAGCTATCTCTGAGAACAATTATTATTGAAAAACATTATAAAAACCTTCTTTGGCTTCATATACTTCAGCTACTTCATCTACTTTCCAAGAAAATACATTTTAGTAATTTTCGAGATGTTACTCCTATAGTTAATTAACCATTTCTTAAGGTTATGTAACCATTTTGTGGGCGTGGTCTCGTTATCGATATTTTCTTAAAATTTTTTCGATATTGATAAGTATCGATACCGCATTATATCGATTAAATATCGTGAGTTTTGATATATCGCCCAGCACTATACACTTGTGCTGACTTCAGCAAACATAGGCTCAGCTCCATCCAGCTCCTGATCCAAGCTCCTACGCTCAACTATAGCCACAAGAAACCGATGGGCTTCAAGTACAGGAAGGCTAAAGTACGGTCTCTTTCCACACTAAAACCTGGTCAGTATTATAGATAGGTATACCGGTATCATGTGATAATGAACCCATTATAACTGAAATACGCCCTCAGGCTCAGCCTTGTCTGGATAGTTGGCTTATAGTGTTCTAGGCTATAGTTATAGTCTAGTGTTATAGTGTTGGCTTACAGTGTAGCATGAAGCATGACCAATGACAATGCATGTCAATCTATTGAACAAGGATGAAACTGAAAGCACTGGCCCCCTTAATCACCATTGCCGTTAATGTGTCATAATAGATGCACATAGACTTATAGATTGGTAGTGTACCAGTGAATCTTTGCCTGTAAATCAAAAAATCAACTGTGCAGTAAAAGCTACATACATGTATGTAGTCGTGAATCTTAAATGCATTAAGTCACAAGGTAAATGCACACTATACTGTTCACAATTGAAATTGTTACAACTGCAAACACGTTCATTAGTCACCAGACAAACGAATGGTATTTAGCTCTTAGTATCACTACCAATCTACCATAACCTTACTTAAACTAATAGGATTATTTTCAATTAGTTAACCGAGACTGATACATGCACTATTGAATTTTAGTTAATAATTTTTTAAATCGATTGATATTGCATTGTCTATGATGCCCTAAAGCTTTTACAAAAAGTTTAAATCTCTAAAAATTTTAGTTTTAGTAAAATGTACCAACTAAAGAAAGTCTACAGTTATGTTGATCTCACTCCCCTTTGCTACCCAAGACTATCATTGGATTGTGTGATTTCTGTTTATAAATTTTGAGTTCAGTAAAAATACCAAGGCTCCATGTACTCTATAATAATCCTTTTATAGTAATAGTCCATTAAGCCTGGTTTCCATATAGCCATACAACAGCCTTAGGCCTGGTTCCATGTAACCATACTGTTAACAGCCTTACAACAATCGTGGAGGTATGCTAACAATCACAAAATCCATACAACAGCCACAACTCTATGGTTTTACTGTTATACAGACTATTTTATTATTATTATTAAACAACTTTACTATAGTTTGTACAATTCATTATTGTTGTGACAGCAAACGTAAACTAACTGATTATAATTGTTCCATTACTATAGAAAAACTACTAAGGTCCATTTGTGTTCACCTGAGCCCTAGTTTTCTTACAATAACTTTTGACTTACAGTTCCTATTGTAAAAATAAACATACCTGTGCATTCCTCTCCTTTTGCCGCATCTATTGTGATACTCAAGAAGCAGCTATAGCTCTTTAGCTTCAAGTTGGTTGTATAGCCCATGCAGAAAGTACAGCCATACTTTTCCTAATATTATTGCATTGTGTTAATTATTGGGTGGGGTCTGTAATCACTTCCTGGGCTCAGGTGAATGCAAATGGACTTTAGCCCCCTCTAAGTGCAATTAATGAGCTCAATTCTTTAAAAGTCCTATTTCTCATTTATTATAGGTGATCACATAAGAGTCTATAGGACCCTCTACTTCCATCACATGTTAGTCATTCGTGTCATTGACAAGAATACATTGCATGTCATTCATTACACTGGACAGGAGAAATGTTGTGAAGAACAAGATCAGTATTCATCCATGCAAACAGCAGCTATTGCTGGAACAACTTCTTCTCTACTTTTAGCACCTACTGATGAATCTGCTCCTAAAGCTAAAATTATGGAAGCGTATGTTCCATTTGATCTCAGTGTACAGATTCTTGAGCAGCTTGAGTATGAACCTGGTGATGCTATCAATACTGGTAAAAAAGCTATAGCTCGTGCTTGAGAGAGATTAGGCGAAATGGATTACAACCTGTTATTCAAAAATTATGAATCATTTGTCAATTGGGCCATCACCACACGTGAAGAGACTAATCAAGGGGAAAAGGGCAGATTTGGCCTCATTGCTGGAGGACTGACGTTGCTAGCTGCAGGTTTAGGTGTTGGTGCTGCTGCTTATTATGCTAGCAGCAGATCTACCAGTCACAGTGATGAAGATGAAGAGAAAGCTAGGAAAAGGGGTAGAAAATGGAACTAGCATACCAGCAAGTGTGGACTTGTCAATGAAACTATGACACATAATTGTATTACTATTATTGTAATCAATTATGCACCGATTCAGTATAATATTAACCATTAAAATTAAAAACAAAAAATGTCGGGCTTTAATTATACTTCATTGGTATGAATGAACCAGTAAGTAAAAAATATAATCAGCCCATTTAGATCTATTTCTCCTTATGCTAAGGTATCATTAATTCAAAGGAGGAGCCTCAATCAATTAGGTAATAATGCCTGCATGAGTGCTTGTGCTACATCAGCAAACTGACATACTAACCAACTGACATATTAACAGCAAGGAACAAATGGGCTTCAAGTACAGGAAGGAAAGAGTACATTCTCTTTCCGCACTAAAACCTGGTCAGTAAACTTGTATTATAAACAGCGAAATAAAATAGGTATACCTAGGCCAATAATGTGTATGAAAACGAATCCCTTATAAAATACTGATATTTCAGCCATAAATAGTACAGGACGTACTTTCCCCTTAAAATTAAACCCTCAACCTGTATGGTTAGTTATGTCAGTGGCATATGACCAATCACAATACTGAATGTGTGTCATAAATAATCAGTTAAACATGACAGCAATGAAACTAGGGGCACTATGAACAAGAAAAGGGTAGTCTCGCTAGCCAGGCTGGGGAATGGTCTGGCTAGCGAGACTAAGAAAAAGGCACTATAATGCTTGGGAGTTGGAAGGCATACCTATTGAAAAAGAATTTGTCCCTCCCCATGGTAGGCCCCCTTATCACCAGTGCCGCTAATGTGTCATAGTAGATGTACAGATAAGTCAGTAGTGCACCAGTAAAGTCTTTTGCCCATAAATCAAAAATCAACTGTGCATGAGTACATGCATGTAGTCTATCATAAATGCTTTGAGTCACAACTGAGGTGAATGCACACTAATGTTCACAATTAAAATTGCTACTACTGTGCAAACACATACACTAGTAATGAGACAAATGAAAGCTATTCAGCTCTAGTATCACTATCAATCTATTATAACCTTATTTAAACTGACAGGAGTATTTTCAATTAGTTAACTGAGACTGACGATTAATGATTTTTAAAATTGATTGATATTGAATTGTTCACATATACTGCCCTAAAGCTTGTACAAAAAGTTTTAGTAAACCTCTAAAAATTTCAGTTTCAATAAAATGTATCAAGAGAAGAAAGATACGGTTATGATTAGATTAGTCTCACACCCCTTACTATCACTGGATTTGAGTGATTTCTGTTCAGTCATAAATTTTGAGTTCAAAATGCCATGCATGTCCATGTACTCTATCCTTTTTTAGTAATAGTCGTTATGGCTATAGTTTATACAATTCACTATTGTTTGGATAGCATACCTGCCCACTCAGAGTGCACTTAATAAGCTCAATTCTTAAATAGTTCATTATCATATAGGTGATCACATAAGAGTCTATAAGACCCTCTACTACCATCACATGTTAGTCGTTCGTGTCATTGACAAAAGAACAGTGCTTGTCATTCATTACACAGGACCGGAGAAAGATGAAGAACAAGGTCAATATGGGCCCATGCAAGCAGCAGCTGTTGCAGGAACAGCATCTTCTCTACTTTTAGCACCTACTGATAAATCTGCTCCTAGAGCTATGATTATTGAAGAGCCAGTTACATTTGATCTCAGTGTACAGATTCTTGAGCAGCTCGAGTATGAACCTGGTGTTGCTATCAATACTGGGGAAAAAGCTGTAGCTCGTGCTCGAGAGAGATTAGGTGAAACGGATTACAACCTGTTATTCAAAAATTGTGAATCATTTGTCAATTGGGCCATCACCACACGTGAAGAGACTAATCAAGGGGAAATGGGCACTTTTGGGCTTATTGCTGGAGGACTGACGTTGCTAGCTGCAGGTTTAGGTGTTGGTGCTGCTGCTTATTATGCTAGCAGCAGATCTACCAGTCACAGTGATGAAGATGAAGAGAAAGCTAAGAAAAGGGGTAGAAAATGGAACTAGCATACCAGCAAGAGTGGACTTGTCAATGTAACAATGACACACAATTTAATTAATGTAATCAATTTAATTCAGTACTGATCATTAATATTACCATTCAAATTAAAAACAATTAATGTTGGGCTTTAATTATACTTCATTGGTATGAATGAACCAGTGAGTGAAAAGATATAACCAGCCCATTTTATGTCTCCTTATGCTAAGGTATCATGTGGTAATAATATATGAACAGCCAAACATGCCCTATCACAACTCAGGATAATGACTACAGCGGGTAGCTATACCCTCTCCTCCAGTTAATAGAGGAGCTAGTCATTATGAAATATGATAATGAAGGGGGTTGCCTCGGTATTTTTTATTATTTTTGTAGTAGAAAAACGAGAAAAACTACTACTCATCATACAGGTAAGCCATATTTAGGGTTAGTATCAAGCAACCACGTGGGCCAGTTAATGCGCATGCGCAATGAAATCCTTGGGGAGGAGAGTAGGAGACGAGCTAGGCGGAGCGCGGGCTTTTATTTATAATGAACGATAAAATGGCTACACCTTCATCAGCACTCAAACGTTGGAAAAGAAAGCGAGTCAGTGGAGTAAACTATGCGTAAGATTGACCCTTTAAAGCTAACGGTTGTGATTTATTATTACTTAGTGCTACGTATGGAATCGATAGAAGGAAAAGCTTTCCTCGGGACGCCAATGGTTTGGAGCCCGTGGGTGCTTACTTCACATCCTCAGAAGAGGAAGATGACACAAGTAGGGAGAACATGTGTCTCATTGCTATTAAGGGATGGGTCTGATCTATGGCTAGCTTTAGGTTGTAGCTGTTAGGTGTGGCTGCTCAATAAGAAAGAGGACATACTTGTATATGTAATATTGATGTTTATGTAAAGGAATACAGTTGGTATTTAGTAGAAGGTCTAAACAACTAGTGTGCTTCACATTGATACCATACTAACTGGTTATTGGTTTTGAAGCATAGGCTGGGACTTATGCCGAAAATGGCAGAACCCAGCAATAAATAAAACAGACACCACTAAGTTAACTTGTTAATTCTCACATTAACAAGATAGTTATGATTACCAGTACTTCAAACAATGCAATTAACAATTTTATCATTTGCACTACACGTATAATTAATACGTGTAATTACCATATCTCATGCATTTTGAGCCGTAGATCACAAAAATTACACATTTACTTTTCTGTTTTCATGTAGGCTTTGAATACACTAAAACTGTCACCCCGTCAAGGTATGCATGTACATGTACTGTACATAGAAAAGAATTACAAATAAACTACATGTACATGTATTGCATGTTTTGTATATAGATGTACATGTACTTTCTGTATTTAAGTATTTTACATTTCATTACATTTATTGGCTTACATTTAATAGTATTTCGTCTCCTAGTCCTACTACTCGCAGTGCTTCTTCTTCAGCTGCTGCTGCTGCTATTAGTACTCCAAGGAACCAGTCAGTTACTGCTACTCCTAATCGGACACTCTCAAGGTCTAGGAAGAAGCGTAAGAAGATTACCTGTTCAACTGGACCACGCAAACAACCAGCAAGACAAAGTAAGTCAGTATAGCTAGGGTTGATTTAATATCGCAAGTGTTGTAGTGTAGGAATTTTTTTGACCAGTAGTAGTTTTATCTTTTTTCAATCATGTACAGCTAATAATTTTGCAGGGGAGAAAATTTATTGAATTTTGATGTTTTGATAGTCTCCAAATTAACACTATTTCTGTACATGTACATGTACAAGTGTCACATGTATATACTGTATGTTTTGTATTATTTTGTAACATACAATGTACATGTGCATGTAGGTATTAGTAAGGAAGCAAAGCCACCAGTTAAACCTGTTACTCCTCCAAGGGAAGCAGTTGCTACATCACCTGCAAAAACTGTCACTCCAACAACAAGGTACCATAATTATGCATGCACGTGTATCATACATACATGTATATTGTGAGAATATAGTGCACAGTATAGTGATATAGGGTTATAGTGCACAGTAGGACACTCTCCTCTAATTATTATCTACTCTTGGTATCATACATATATTGTGAGAATATTTTGTAATTTTTTAGGCACACAACTACAACTCCTCCTCCACAACCTCCTTCTACTAGTAGAGCCTCTACCAGGACTACTGTGACCAATTCAAAGTAAATCCAGTAAAGAGAGAACAATACACATATACAATACATATAAATTTACTTATAGATTACATATAAATTACAAAATTTACTAAATCGGTACATCACTACATGTACATGTAGGTTACTGTATAGTGGGTAAATTTGGAGGGGATAAATTTTGGCGAATTGCTAAATTTTGGTAATTGGTGGATTTTAATTTTGGCGAATTTGTGGCCACGTGTCATTGAGCATGCGTATAATAGCTCAAAATGGCGGGGTTTTATTTTGGTGAATGGCTATCAAAACGCCAAATTCGCCAAATTTAATCCCCTCCAAAATTACCCACTACAGTGAAACCTGCTATTGTGGACACTCTAAAATAAAGACGCCTCTATAATCAGGACAGGTAGTATCAGTCCCAATACAATATAAATGTGTATTAATGAACCTCTGAAATAAGGACACCTCTATAATAAGGACAATTTTATTTGGTCCCAAGGTGTCCGGAATAGACAGGTTTGACTGTATACGGTAATTTGTGAATGAATCCCACTCTATACTATACAGTTGTACTATGTGCATGTACATGTATACTGTGTATGGTACGAATTGAATTGTGCAGGCCAGGCTGTATATTTATAAGAATAATTATTTTAAAATTGTTTTAGGCATACTTCATCTCCTTCTCCTCCACCTCCTCCTGTCACTACCACCAGACCCTCCACTAGGAATGCTTCAAGGTCTACCAATAATTCAAGGTACATTAAGTCACTTGAATATGTACATGTACTACATTTACATATACCTTTATTACCATTATATGCTAGTAGTGGGATTTATTGTTGGGGAGATATTGTGAGAATATTTTTTAATTTTTTAGGCATACAACTACAACTTCATCTCCTCCTCCTCCACAACCTCCTCCTACTAGTAGAGCCTCTACCAGGACTACTGTGACCAATTCAAAGTAAGTCCAGTAAAGGGAGAAAATATAATAAAAACTAAGAGAGAATTAAAATGTAGCCATAGTTTAGTTGAAATGTTGGCTTGCCTGTCTTAATTTATTTTGATTATGATTAGAGTGCATATACCAATTATATGAGACACTTAAGTTTTTTGAATTGTAAAATTTTATCATTCAAATTACTGGCAGTGTCCCGGCCATATAATACAAACCATCTCATAATATCAGAATGTTCACAAATGTTGCAGTGTGGATGTAAATGTATTGTGGGTTTCCACTACAATGAGTATAATTTGAGTAAAGAGAGAAGTTATAGTAAAAACTAAGAGGGGGCTATAAATTTAAATTGTAGGTTGTTTGTTGTCTTGACTGCCTTTATTCATTGTAATTATGATTAGAGTCATCTAATTAATTATTAGAGTTTAATTATCTAATGTTTTAATATCCATACATGTACGTGTACATTGTAGGTCTTCCACTGCCAGGAAAGACTCGCCTCCTCTTATCATTGATAGTATACAGGATCTAGCTTCTCCTTCTAAAGCTGCTCCTGTTGATCAGTTGCCTAATGCTTCTCCTTTGAAGACTGTTGTGAAGTCAAGGAGGAAACGGAAGAAGATAACTTGTCCTCCACCACGACGACGCCAACCAACCAAGAGGAGTAAGTGTGCTTGATTGTATATGTACATGTACATGTAATTTTTTTATATTATTTATTTTTATATTGTTTTGCCCCTTGATTGACTGAAAAAAGCATCTTTAAAATTGAATTTTGATTGGAGTCAGCTCAAATTCATGTATAAAAAAATTAAAATGGAGAATGCTCTTTTATTTATTTTTGGCAAATTTTAGCCTCAGACTGTATACTGTATACTGTATACTGTAGGGACTTTGGCCCGATTTTTGAGTAACTTAAAGAATTCATAAAAAATCTAATTTTGATTGGAATCAGCTCAAACTTGCTACATAACATAAGAACATGTATATGTATCAGGAAAAATTATAAAAATGGAGAATTTTCTCCTAGTCATTTTTGGCGAAATTTGGCCAACGACCCTGTACTATAGTACAGGGACTTTGGCCCGATTTTTAGTAACTTTTAAAAATTAAACTCTATCAGAATGTGCTCACACTTTCTACACCCCAATCATCAAAAATTTTGTGATTTACAAAGAAATTCGTTCCTCCAAATTACTGGCTATATGGTCCCATACATGTACATGTATGTGCTGTAATAGCCCATGCAGCATTGGCCAAATTTTAAAGCAGCTTTAAATAGTACCGTATGCGGCATATATTTTGCGGGTATAAAATTTTGCGATTTGACTGCATTTTTTTATTTGCAAATAATTACAATTTACCTTCACTTTAGCTATCACTGAGATCACTCGAAGGACTGATGTCACCCCTGGAGTAAGGAGGACTAAGAGACCCAATATTGCTAGAGTACCGGTTGGAGGGTATGTAGAGTATAAGGACCACTGGGGGAACACGCCCAGCGATACTTATGGTAAGAATAGATAGAGGATACCGTATAGCACTTTAATTTTGCGGAGCTAAAATTTCTCGGATTGATAAAAATCAATTTTTTGTGGAAATAACTGTTGCGGATTCTCAATGTTTGTGCTACACCTTTAATGGCAATTGAAATATTAGCGGATCTTTAATTTTGCGGTTTTATGCTAACCGTGAAAATAGCGAAAGTTTAGCTCCTCGAAAATAAAGTGTTATACAGTATTTAGTATTTGTTTACTGTGTATAATTTTAGTACATGTTAATGGTCTTTTTTTTTTGACGTACTGTAATGCAAATTTTCGAGGGCTGTAATTTTTTTGCGATTTTTTAAACATTCGTAAAAATTACGTGTACTTCCACAAAATCAAATTATTAGGGCACAAGATAGCAGAAGGTACATGTACATTGTATATGTAAATTTGTGAAAATTAAATCCATGACATAGATTTTTAGGCAAATTCACGAAATTTATAGCCCTCGAAAATCTTGTGCTATACAGTATTGTTAATGTAATTACGGTAATGCCTCGTCATTACTTTATTTAAGCAATAAATTCATTTTTGTACATGTAAGTTTAATTTTGCTTTCTTTTTTGTCATTATACATGTATTTTATATGTACTGTGGTTATAGTGTCTGACTGTCTGTATACTAATTGATTTACTTTTTCATTTTAGGTCGTGAAGCAGTCCATATTGTTAATCCTATACCCAGCCCCACTCCTAGAAGTAGAAGAAATACTAACAATAAGAGAACAAGAGATGAGGTATGTGTGTACGTGTATTTTACATATTATTTCATTCTTAATTTCTTATGCATGTGCATGTATGTTTGTTGTTTCAAATTTTGTAGTGTTGTGATAAATAGGTAGACACAGCTAGTGTACATGCACTCTCTCTCTCTCTCTCTCTCTCTCTCTCTCTCTCTCACTCTCTCTCTCTCTCTCTCCCCTCTCTCTCTCTCTCTCTCTCTCTCTCCCTCTCCCTCCCTCTCTCTCTCTCTCTCAATTCATTTTAGGAGGATTTGTATCTATCTTTTGCCTCTCCTGATGATCCTGAGAATATTGTGAGACATCATATCTGTAAGTACATGTGACTGTCAAATAAGTGTATATACATGTACATATGCACAATGACCTAGTGTTCATTTCATGTACTTATGCATCATGTTATTTGGTACATGTACGTGTACATGTACATGTTGGCTGTAACTATAACTTTTGTTTTGAATCAGCACAATAAAGCATCATTTGTATCAGAAACTGTAATAATAATTACATGTATTAGCGATCCTTTGGGGAATCACATGTACATGTACATGTATGCTAGTCCTTATTTCTTCAAATCCCCATAAAATGTGATTATACTATTATTATGTGCTCTGTGTTGTAGTGTTTCCACTGTCTCACGGGCAACTGTGTAATGTAGATGGAATGGATCTACAGCCTGGAGATGATTTGATCATTAATAGAGTGATGGGAACTGACGACTATCAAAAAGGAGAGATGGAACTAAAGAAAGGATCAGAGAAGCCGATGGCACAGAATGGGAACTGTGAAATGGTAAGAGTCTATGTACATGAACATGTATATAGGCAATCAGGCAGTATTTGTAATAGCATAATAAGAAGGCTACGAGTAAAAAATTAAGTACCGTATGGTGCAAAATTTTTGATGGCTGTAAATTTTGTGAATTTGCCTAAAAATCTATTTTGTGGTTATAATTTCCGCAAATTTATGCCGTCTGCCATCTTGGACCTTAATAATTCGATTTTCATGAAAGTAATTCGCAAATCTTCAAAAATTGCGAAATTTACAGCCCTCGAAAATTTTGCGCTATACGGTACTTGTATATGTACACTGTACATTTAAATTTATATGTGCATTTTGGGCTTTTCCTATCGTTAAGGTTAGAGATTTAGTTCTGGTATTATGAGAAGAGTGCATGGTTTATTATATTATCAGATACTGCATATAGGATATAATTTTTTTTAATTTCAGCATTTAAGCCCTTTTATTGTATGAATTATAGAATGCTACCTTTTTTTAGGTATTTCGTGTTCTGAAAGGAAAAGTGTTAGCAGTACTAGAGGACCAAGAAGTAGAAGTGTCTACTAATGAGTATGTTCTTATTCCTCCTGGTAAATAATGATTATGTGTACCATCTGTTATCATCAATGTTCCTTATTACTAGGTACTGCTTATCAACTGAACAATCTTTCAAGATCAAATACAGTCATAGATTATACTGTTATAATGAAAAAATAGACAATAACTGTTTTATTACACATTCATGTATGACTGTAGAAACATTATCGTATAGCGGGTTTGTTTCGTGAGGGTAAACTTTCGTTCTCCATCCTCGAAATGACTTTCGTGCGGTTAAACATTTGTTCTGAAGACGTTAATAAGCTACTATGCCCATTAAACAGGAATTTCGTTTGGTTAATTGTTCGTTCTCCCATTTAAAAGAACGAAAATTTAGCCTCATGAAACCTGATGAAACAAACCCTTTACACGGTATGTACATGTATGGTACATCCGCTCTGACTTATAAACTCGCGCGTGGGCTGTGGTCAAATTTTACAATGGCAACTGCTCTTGAGTCAAAGTCAGAAACAAGGTAGTTTAGTAGAGTACCACTATATATTTTGTGGTGTAGTCATTGTGAAGGTAATATTTTATTTGTAGCTTTATCATTCCTGCCAAAGTTAAGTGTACAGTTTGCGGGGAGCTCACTGAATCGACCTTGACTGGCACCGCCATGGTTTGTACGAACCCTGTGTAAGCTGCTTGGGCTGGTGTAATCATAATAAGTTTTATAACTTTTTCTAGATGTATAAAGAAATCTATTGTGCATGCAGCCGTAAGTTTTTAAAGACAATGAAGAGCGGAGAGTAATCGAGATCAACATAACCAAATTAAGTTTTTGTCAATCACCAAAATTTTACAAAATTTCCACCCTTCAAAATTACCAGCTATGCATACCATAGCTCTATCTGTTCAATCAAGTAGTTCACACTGCATAATGCACTGTATTAATTTTTTCTAGTGTTTCAAAAGTTTAAAATTTGCTTGCTTTGAGTCCGGCAAGGACTTGGACTGTTTGTGCTTTTGTGCTTTATTAACTGATTTAGTTAAGAGCCACATACAACTTGAAACAGTCAGATTTGCCATAGACTATATGAAGTATTATCAAAGTAGTTCAAAATATTTATGACACATATACTCAGTCCAGAATTAATTTCATTTTTTATGTATATACATAGGAAGAAACAGTTTCTTCAGTTGATGATGAGTATTTTTTTAGTAGCAAAGGTTTTAGAGCACATAGCTCCATTGGGAACTCAGCAAGAGAGTGCTCATGAGCACAAAAATATCAGTTTCTTCAAGAGACTTACGTCTGGAAATATGATTGTCTCAGGAAAAAAGAAATGTGTAAATGTTATCATGAGCATTGCAGGAGGATCTCAAAGTATTGGGCACAAAAGCATTCAAAAAGGTATGATACATTACTACTGAATGCTATGAATAAGAGAATCTGTATAAACACCAGATAGTTTTGCTTTGTATAGTGTATTACTAACTATATATAATTGTTCCATAATTCCTTACTTTAGTGTATTCATTGCATGAGTGAATGACAACACTATCACAACAGACATAATATGTTATGGAACAAAAATGCCCATGTACACACATAGTGCACACACATAATGCCCACAGTACCATACAGGTATTACCAAATATTGAATTTACGTGTTCTAAAATTTTCATGATTTTTGTGAAAATTTAATCACAAGAAACTACACCATAAGTCAAGTAAAGAATAGCCTAAAGAGAACCAAAAGAGACTTGTGGACTCATGCTGCTCTACCCATTTGGGGGTGGTCACAGTTTATACAACAGGAAACCACAAACTTTGCTGTTTGCATGGACCACAAACTCCACGTGCAAGTGCACCCACACACTACAGGGGCGTATCTAGGAATTGGAGAAGGGGGGTGCTGAGGGTGCGCCGCGATTTTGGCCACACCCACTTTTACAGCGGTAAAATGGCCTTTTCCTGCATTTTCGACAATTACGGGTGGGGCCAAGATCATTTCAAGCATACTCAGTGGCGGATCTAGGGGGGTTCCATGGAACCCCCCCTTTGGCAGAAGAAGTTGTCTTTTTGCAGTATCTTTGGATTCTTTGCAGTCAGTTTGCATCACTTTTCCTCCATTTTATTAGTTAGATCTACACCCAAATTTTAATTAAAATTAATGAGCTACACCTACTTAAGTGAAATGGAACTCCCCTTTTAATTTTTCTGGATCCGCCAGTGATACTGCTATGTTACTGGTACTTCTGATTGCTCCTTAAAGCACTGGAAACTGCTGAAATCATGATCAGGGGGCTAGATAACTTTGCTAAGAGGCTTGGTAGTGATGCAAGAGTCCAGGACTTCAGTAATTTTTTCTGAGCCCAGCCCTGAGGGGGGTGCTCAAGCCCCCTCAGCCCCCCCCCTAAATACGCCTCTGCACTATACTATAAGAAGCTATACAGTATGTCCCTACTATGCAGGATATTGGACTAGTATTATGCATGCATAATGTATAATTATAATGAATCTAGAAAGTAAAATGATATGTTTTTTATACAGAATGGTTATGTATGCCTAGTTAGAATCACATTCTATTATAGCAAGAGTTGTATATTGTACAGCTTACAACTAATAAAAATGAATAAAAACCACATGTAGCTGAAACAGTACTCATATAGCGGGAAATTTTTGTGGCCCAAAATTTTCGTGGATTCCGCATTTTTTATAAAATTCACAAAAATAAAATTTACAAAACTTGATTTAATACAGTTCAAGATGGCCAAATAGTAGAAAACCACAACAATTAAAGCCAAGAAATTGATTTTTAGACTGATCTGCAAAGATTTTGGGCCACGAAAATTTCCTGCTATATAGTATTTGCCAGAATAATTTGAGTATTACATGTATGTATATAAAGGTTTGTTGGCTGTATCATTTTGGAAACAGCATATGAATCAGCATTTTACCAGGTCTCTTATAGATAATTATTAGCAACTCTTTTGATATCAATGCTTATATATTATTTTTATTCTAAGATTGTGCTCTTTCAATGTGTGTTTATGTACATTTTGATGTTGCATGCAGGGGTATACCCAGAGGGGTTAAAAGGGGCTTGAGCACCTCCTCATGGCTGGGATCAGAGAATTCTTTAACTGGTGTCTCATATCACTGCTAAATGTCTTAAGAAAGCTCTTCAATACACTTGACAATCATTTCAGCTTTAATTCCAGCATTTTCCAGTGCTTTAAAGGGTAATAGGAAATTCCAGCGTGCCTGAAATTACTGTAACCTTACCTATTATTAATGAATAATTTTTGAAAATGGTGGAAATGCTATTTAAGTGCCATAAAAGGGAGTGTGGCTAAAATCGCAGCATGCTTCATGCGCCAATAGCACCCTCATCTTCCAATTCCTGAGTATACCTCTGGTTGCATGTATGTTTAATCATTTGTGACAAAGTGTGTGTATAGTAAGTGATACATGCCTTGTTTCATGAGGAAAAGGAAATACCATCTAGTAGTAAATCCATTTTATTTTCTAAGGAGAATGCTGACTTAGTTTAACATTAGTAAATTAACTTAAATATTTTTATTCACTATAGCTTATCATCAAAATAATGTTTCTACAGATTTACCACAAGATATCATTGAAACATGCAAAGTAATTATGTATAATTCTTGATAATTATGACATAATTAATATTTATTAAGCTTGCTCTGAAAAGTCTTCGAGGCTGTAACAATGGAAGCCTTATTCAAGAGAGATGGTTGGCAGAAACAAATCATCTCTTACAGAACAAAACTCTCACTATTGGTGTTTTTGGCCGTCATAAAGCTGGAAAAAGCACAGTATTGAATGCTCTCCTGCATCATGAGTAAATTACTCTTGTATTTTCTTATTTCCTTTCCCTCATCAATAATAAGAATAATTTTAAGAGAGACTTTTTTGTTTTAGTATAGCAGTTTAATTTGGTACATGTGCATACCAAATGCATGCATGCATAGTAACAAATAAGAAGCCATAATAAGTTATGCATGTATTTTTAGCATATGTGACCATAATAGACAAAAGGTACCTTATGGCGGGTAGTGAAATTTGTCATTAAACCCAAAAAATCTAACTTCCTGAGCTCCATTTATCATAAAATTACTCCACAGGATACAAAAAGTTACTATATAACTATTAGAAACAATGATTGCCCAACAAAGCACTCACAGGTTGATATTTTCCATTATAATGATGAATTTTTAAATCCACCATAAGGTACCTTTTGTCAATTATGGTCACATATTTTAATGTTCTTAGAACATTGCCCTCAGCTGTGAAAAATGAAACAGCATCAATTACATATATTCACCATGAACCTTGTAAGCATCTGGGTAAAAGGTGTTCAGAAGATTGTGAGGTACCATTGATTTCTTTAAGTTTATACTTTTGTTGCACAATGTAGGAATATCTTTCAATTAAAAACACTGAGATAAAAGGCCGAAGAAATATTCGACAGATAATTCAGAGCAGAAATTTTGACATCAGGGAAAATAAAAAATCAGTAAGTTTATAGTGCTTCTGCATGCGTATTTTATTCTTGATAGGCATTGGAGATTATAGAAGTGGTAGCCCATGTGCCTTTTCTGTGTCCATATTCTACTGATAATATTAAGATTGTGCTGTTAGATACTCCTGGTTTGGCTGAATCAAATGAATTAGGAATTTCTGAGTTATCAGAACACCAACTAATGACCTGCTCAGCCTTCATTTACGTTATATCATGTTTACAGTTGGAGGATGCTATTGACACTGACACATTTAGGGCTATAGCTGAAAGAGACCCTGGTATGTGCAGTTGATTACTATACCATAGGGTACCTTTTTTAAGAGCTGTAAATTTTGTGGATTTTACAATTTTTAAAAATTTGCAAAAATTACTTCTGCAAAAATCAAATTAATATGGCAGATGGCATAAATTTGCAAAAATTAAATCTGCAAATAAAAATCTGCAAAATAAAAATCTGCAAAATCTATAGCCCTCGAAAAAAGGCGCCCTACGGTATCATCATAAATTTGGACACTGCTAATAATTATACACATGTACCTGTTTTGCTGCCAGTAGTCCTTCAAGTTTTTATGTCAGCTAGCCCATTTGCCAGAAAACAAAAATACAAAAACTATACAGCAAAAATTTAGTTTAGTACATGATTGAAACAGTGTGTGTGTGTGTGTGTGCGATGAAAAATACTCTTGTAACAATTAGAACACAAAAATATTTACAATGAAGTGTTTTATGCTGTAAATCAGAACTCTTGTTGTAATAGCAAATATAGTTTACATTTGTTTTACTTCATACTACCATATAGGGGGTATATTTCCTGGGAAAAATATTTCACAAAAATTACCTTTCAACCTATTCACAGGAAAAAAATTATGTTTTTTTCTACTGGTCACTATTAGTATAATAAAAAATAATTTTCATAGATGGAAATTTTCACAAATTTTTAAAAACCGCAAAATTAAATCCAGGTGAAATATACCTCTATACGGTATTTATCTTTTTGATGTTTATTTTTATTAGGTGTTTTCATTGAGAAACGAATGTTGATTGTTGTAACAAGGCTTGATGAGTATAAGCAATCTGAAAAGAAGTGCAATGACCAATCAATGCAGGCCTGTAATAGTGATGATGATGAAACTGCAAGTCTTGATGAGCTTATCAAAAACATCAAGGAAACCATTCAACAGCAGTGCAAATTTATCTCAATACCTGATGATTGCATCATTCCTGTGAGTTCCACTGCAGCTTTGGAGGCAAGGAAAGTTCAACTAGGATTAAAAAGTCGAGACATTGAAGTGTTATTAGGAAAGTTTCGAAGAATCAAGAGTGGCATAAAACTTGAGGAACTAGAAGAAACTAGTCAGCTACTGGTATTAGAAAAAAAGTAAAATGATTAAAAAATATTAACAATGTGAATAATATTGCAGGCTTCGTGAGATTGCCCTGAATTCTTATCGTTTATGGCACCGTTCTATTGTGAGGGATTGCTCTAGGTACTTGGAGCAAGCTGTGAGGGAACTGTATGACATTGAAACTAATTTTGGATGTGTTGAAGACAGTATGTTCATTAATAGTTAATATTACAGCGATACCCTTTTCTCTCTTAATTAGAATATAATAAAAAAATTTGTAGCAAAGAGAGGTTACTGGCAGAATACAGAGCAGAAAAAAAAGACTTAAGATCCAAGTATGAAAGTGACTCAGCATTTCACGTTTCCTTAAAGGATTCTTTTGATGAAGATGTGCAGGTATAGCTCTCCTATTATTATCAAAAATCAATAAGTTATTTTTAGTCATTACGTAGTAAAATTGATGAAAAGTTTAATGATCAATTCAAAAAATTTGAGTCAGGTATTAAGGAAAGGCTAAGACTTACTGTGGAAGAATATAATTCAAGTTAGTCACTTAATAATTATGTTAGTTTGTGTCTAGTGACAATTGATATTGTTGTGATTGCAATTGGACCTTTGGTAATAAAGAATAAAGTGCCATAATTACATTGAGAAGAGTGTTGTAGTGAGTGTTGTACCAAATTATAAATTTAGGCATAATTTTATCAAGCGTATTATATTTTTCTTGTTGCTTTAGAAGTTGAGGAGTTTATTGAAGATGCAAACAAGTCACTTAAAGATATCATACACCATGCACACTTCAAAAAGATGAACAGCATTATTAAGGAGTCCTCTTTTCAATTGGGAATAGCCAGACAAAGACTTGAGCAAAAAATGGCACAGTACTGCGACACTACTACATCAGTTACAAGTATTTGTTTAAAATTTATAGTATTCATTCACATGCATACATTAATTTTAATCAAAGCATGATTTGCATTTATTTTCAATACCCTTGGCCTTAATAGATTTGACATACTCTTTCACTAAAATCAGAAGCCCTTGCTGAAATCCAGCAAATCGATTTGCTGCAGCTATTTATTTAAGGTGTTATAACACTAAATTCAGCAGCTAAATTTTCATTAGAATTTTCCAGTTTACAAAAATGCCCACTGTTATATTTGCTCTACATAAGTATGTGTTTATATGTGTTTTGCATGATGTAAAAGAAATCCAGTATAATGAAAAACCCCATCTGTCTGAAAGTTTCCCTTTCCAATGAAAACAGACTAGTGTAAACATATCTTTCCCTTGGCCAAAATCCTACAAAAAATCTTGTACATTACACATGTGTTTTTGTATTTCAGAAAGCTCATTCTTGGCAGAAAGTGAGGATATGACTGAAATTATAAGTGATGAACCAGTCAACATGTAAGATTAAATTTTAAATTTTAGCTATTATCAATTATAATTATTTTAAATCTTAGCGTACCTCTTAAGTTGAAGGACTTGTTAAGCTCTGTGTAAGATAAGATTTAAATTTATTATTATTGACTGTTGCCTTGTTTTAATAGAAATTATAGCATATTTGACAGAATGAAGATTTTTGCCCAGAAGTTAGTTATGATAATAAAATTTGATGCTTTCTGTTATACATGCATGTAGGGTTTTTCTTAGGCTTAAAACTGATGATGATCCACGACGCCAATTATTGTATGAATAGTTATTGCTGCTATATTAATTCATTTTATTTTGAAGGGATGTAGAAAGAAATGCATTGCTTAAAGATCTTAAAGAATGTCTATTAAAAGACTGTGTGGATTTTTTTAGAAAAATCAAATCAAAATTAGTTCAGGTGAATGTTTCCCCAATGCCCCTTTTTAATAGAATTCTTACATCATCATTTTTTCTGTATTTTAATTAGAGCTGCTTACAAGAACACAAAAAAATTGCTGAAAGTCACATATTTGAAGTAAAATTACTGTATTCTGACCAAAAAAAGCAGGTGGAGAGTGATGTTAAAATTGTGAGTATCAATAAAAACGCTTCGGCACTTATATTGTTATTATTTCTATAGTGGAAGAAGGAAGCTCTGTTTTATGAGGGGCTTAAAAATTCTCAGGCTGCTATAGCAAGAAGTCTGACAAAGCAAAAAAACCATCTCACAGAACTTTCTGCTAAGTAAAAAGTTTTTGTAAAGAACAATAATTTTGTATGAGTCTGCATGTGCATAATTTTTGATAAAAACAAGTGTTTTAGTTACTTTTAAGTAGTTTTAGAGAGTAGCAATGAAATTGTGCAACTCAGTCTAAAACCCAAAAGAAAGGATTACATTTTCTCCTGGCATCATAAATCAAATCAATAATGGATGAAGTGTTAGATCTACATGTGAGCAATAATTCTGATATATATTGATATAGAGTAAAAATCCTCATAGCAATTGATTATTCATAACTTGATAGATACCTGTATATCAACTTGTAGGCCTAATTGAACTATCTAGGCTTCATAGTAGATCTAGCCTATATAGCACTAAAACTGGCAAACCTTGAATTTTTAGTGCTTTTACAACTTTTGCTTTGGCTCCAGCAGACCCAAAAAACAACCTTAACTATGTAGACTATTGGTTATTGTCACCTCTAGCTAAAGTTTCTTGGTCTTAATAATAATTTGTAAAAAATTTAATTTTGGTTGTTCAAACTCTTACACAATATAAGAACATGTATATGTATCAGAAAAAAGTATAAAAATGAAGAATACTGTCTTCTTCATTTTTCGCAAAATTTGGTGTACTATACCTATAGTACAGAGACTTTTGTTTGATTTTTGAACAACTTAAAAAATTTGTAAAAAATCCAATTTTGATCAGAATTCATTCAAACTTTCTACACAACATAAGGAGATGTATAATATGTATCAGAAAAAATTATAAAAATGGAGAATTTTTTTTCATTTTGGTAAAATTTGGCTCAAGATTCAAGGAGACCAAAAAAGATGAGGTATACATGTAAGCATGTACACATTATGATATGGATACATGTACACATACATGTATGTTGTTTCAAATTTTCTATAATGTTATAATAAATACACAGACTACAGACTAGTGTACATGCACTCACTCTCAAATTGTTACATAATGAAAAGATAAATGATACCTGTTATATACTATATTACACTTTCATTTACAGAATCACAGTATTCAATCAATTATTGAATGGTCATGACTGTAGAAATGCTTTATTATCCACTATTTTGAGCAGTAACAAAAATTTTACATACAATATTAACTATTATTGTCTACAATTAGCTAGCTCACAGTTGGTAGATCTATAACATTACATAATGCAATGAAGTGTGCTATTTTTCAAAATTAATTTAGAATAAAGAAATGTATAAATTTAATAAATTAAGGTACTGTAAGTATAAGTATATACCGGTAAGGATAGAAAAATATAGTAAACCATACTTTCATGATGCTAAAGGTTACACAAGTGTTCAATAGCTTTATCAGCAATTGCTGAAGCTTGGAGAGCATCTGCTTGTAGTATTTGTATTATTGTTCGCCATGTGACATTATTGGGATCATCATTTATCCATCTACTTAATACTTCAATGAATCTTTCCTTGCAAGTACGACGCTCTGTTTCTATTGCTCGTAAAACAGATAAATTTAGTCCAATTAATGTTCCAAATAGAAAATATTTATCTTCAATTTTTGATGCAATTATATCCACAAGGTCTTTCATTTTTGGAGGGCTATTCAATATTTCATCTATATTAAATTTGAGTCAACAACTGTATAAATGCTACATACATATACCTGGTACATCATATATTGTAAAGTGAATTTTCTTGCATAAAGAACAGTATCGACCAGTCTCCCTTGAAGATGCCTCAGCTTTGCTAAGGACAAACCGATCTCTGAGTTTGTGTGCTACATCAGGAAGTCCAGCTTTAACAAGAGCTTCTGCTAATGGTTTCCATGATGCTGTTTTATTCTTACTCCGCCAATGAAATATGACTTGCCTTGTACACTGGTCAGAAGTTGTACAGTGTGCTTCAATCCCATTAAGTACTGGCACGGATATTCCAATGTGATAACCAAAATTGAACCAGATGTCATTGACACACTTCTCTATTGTAATGATTTGAAGCATGTCACCCAGATCTGGATCATTATCTTATAAAAAAGGTTACATATTTTATTGCTATATATATTGTCATGGCAGAGCTAACCTTTAGAAAATGCATCATTACTGTCAATATCTGATGCAATGGAGATAGGGGATTCCATGACATTATCTGCATGTGTGCAAATTAAAGATAATTACTAATTTCATTTGAAATTATAATTATAACAGGACTTTCACAAAAAAATTGGGAGAAAATTGAGTACTTTTTACCTCAAATTTTAAACATTTAAGTTTTCCAAATTCACTAATTTACTATAGTAAAAAATTTTGGAGGGAATTTAATTTGGCAAATTGGCATTTTGATAGCCATTCGCCAAAATAAAAATCTACCATTGTGAGCCATTATGGGCATGCTCAATAGCACATGGCCACAAATTTGCCAAATTAAAATCCACCAATCACCAAAATTTAGCAATTCGCTAAATGTCACTTTCTCAACAATTTCCTGGTATACGGTATTTCAAAAACAATCATTGTTGTTTATTATGTACCAACATCAATAAAGCAAGTTACTATTACTAACCTGATCTTAAAATTATAGTATCTGTAACAGGAAGTGATCCTGGGAAGAGTTTTACTCCATCAAATTTCACAGTCACAGTTTTGGGAGGCATTATCTTGCTGCTAATAAACTGTACTCTAATACGCGGAGGGTAAGTAAGGTTTTTTTCAGAAAGCTTCAAATTTTTAATGTCACCATCCATGACTTTATGATAATCAATTTGCTCAATGGAAACCTAAATGATTCTAAACAAGTAATTCAAGCTGTAATCACATACAGTAGAACCACTAAATGTCCCATTGATCCTTGTCCACCCAACATCATCATCAGATTCATATGTAAGAGAAACAGTACTAGTATCAAAGATCACACATGGAAAAATAGGTACTGCATTTGCTTGTAATTGTAACTTAGTTAATTTGCCAAAAACATTGTGCAGCTTAGTGGACCTATGCTGATCAGTTACAGTTTTAATGTAAGTTAAAGGCCCCATGACAATGACAAACAAGCTTAGGCCTCAATTGCAATTACACTTATTACAGTATACTGTAATAAGTGTAATTGCAATTGAGGCCTAAGCTTGAACAGAATGTAGATCTAAATGGAATTTTTATGATTGCATTGTCAGTGTAATATACTGACTACTGACTCATTATAGACACAGCTCAGTAAAGTTATAGACCCTATAGGGCGCTAAGTTCTGCAAGTAATTATTGCATTACGGTATCCACCCACACTCATGATTTGGACGGCAAGATACCGTGTAGCTACATGGGGAAACAAGGAACAAGAGGCCTTCGTGGCTTCCAGAGCTTGTTTGAGTGGCAATAAATGCCAGTAACAGTGAAGAATAGAGCCCAGAATGTCTCCTGAGAAAAAGCTTCATTGCACTTGAAGCCACTTGTCCACAAAGGCTGCTTTTGGCCTCCTATCCATTGATTTTGCCTGGTTTTGCCGTCCAGCAGGAGAATTTCGAAATTTTTTCATTAAAGAATGCGGATAGGATACGGAAGATTACTAATAGTGTCTCATATACGGTATCTATAAATTGCTTCTAGAAGTTAGCGCCCTATAGGGTCTATATGATCATAATGCACTGTATTATGTATAAATAGAAGTGTGCTTAGTATAGAGCCAGAGCTTTGTAGAAAACTTTGATCCATGGTATTCATCCAGTGCTTGTAAGCTCATGAAGTGTGCTGTTTTACTCACTTAGTACACTTTCTAAGAAACCCTGCTTGGTGAAAATATGTTATGATAAAGCAGTAAATTTTTCATTTTTGAAGCAAGCAATGTTTCTGTTTCATCTGTAATCAACATGGTATAATTGCAATTCTGAATGTGTAACTGCAATTGACCCCATTATACTATGAATCACATGATCCATATATATATCTAGATCTAAAGGCTCCAGTTAAACTACAATGTGTTGTCCAGTCCTTTGCTTTTTTACTGGTTCAAACCAACATCTAGATCTATGTGTAGACTTCAATCAATCCAATGAAGAAAATATCCTGTTTTAATGTACCAAGCAACAGGGTGCACCAATGTAAGCAATAAAAAATGTTTAATTGTAAAAAAGTAAAATTTAGACACACAATCAATAAATTCATTCCTAGGTGACAATATCAAATACTGAGAAGACTACAATTAAAACATTAAGTACATGCACAAGTACACTGCAAAAATTTATATGTACATTTTGTGCTTTTCCTATTGTTCGGTATTATGAGAAGAGTGCATGGTTATTTTGGGACACTGCCTAAATATACTACTTTTGAAATTTCAGCATTTAAGTGCCTTTATTTTATAAATTATAGAATGCTACCCGTTTAGGTATTTTGTGTTCCAAAAGGAAAAGTACTAGCAGTATTAAAAGACATAGAAGTGGAAGTGTTCACTGATGAGTATATCCTTATTTCTCCTGGTAACTAACGATAATTATTCACATACTTTGTATTGTCTATTCCTTATCAGCTAAACAATATTTTAAGATCAAATACACTCATAGACTACACTATCATAATTAAAAAAATGAGCATTATGTATGGCAATAGCTATGTTATTGTCAATTAGTATAGCTCAAAGCATACACTGTCACTTCTGCTTTAGATACTCAATAATGTCATGAGCTATTGCATAAGCTCCAATTGCATCAGACTGAATTACCTTTATAACAGTACTCCATGTGTATGTATCTGGATCATTGTCTTTCCATCTATTTAAAACATCAGTGAATCTATCCACGGGATCATGATAAGTATCATAGAGACTCTTCAAGTACCCATTGTTTACACGAATTGCTGTTCCAAATTGATAAAACTTGTCTGGAATCTTTGCTGCTACCAAGTTAATAAGATCAACCATATCAGGAGGAGAGTTAATGTCTATTAAGTATATAGAATTATTTAACAATGGAAAAACCAACTTACTTGGCACTTCTTGTTGAATGTTTTCAGGTTTAAGATGGTATTCTTCACAAAGATTACAATAAACTCCTTTATAGTCATCTTCTTTATCTTCAGGTTCTGATTCAAGTACAGAAGGTGGATTAAAATGATTTTTGACTTTGTGTGCTAGATCTTTAAATCCAATTTTAGCAAGAGCTACTGCTAAAGGTTTCCATGATTCTGACCTATTTTGATCTCTCCAGTGAATTATGACTTCTCTCGTACATTGAGTAAAGTCAGTGCTTGTCAATAATTCAATATTTCGAAGCTGACCATAAGTTAGACCTAATCTAGATCCAAAATAAAACCATTTTTTTCCTAGATCTCCTTCACTTGTAACAATATATAGACAGTCCCCAAGCAAAGGATCATTTGCTAAATGAATTTTAAATAAAATTGTATGAAAGTGTAATTACCAATTTACCGTATGTCATTTGATCAATGCTGGACTCAGTACTAGTACTTGTAGATGAAGAGAGGGAAGGAGATAATTCTTTGGAACCTTCTAACAGGATTGTGCTGTTTACTGGAGGGTGAACTTGATTGAATTGAACTATCACTTTTTGGCTTCTTTTCACTGCTGCATTTGGTTTAAACTGTATTTTGAAACGAGGAGGATAAGAGCAAATGTCTTCTAACAACTTTAGCCGCTCAAATTCATCTTCAGTCACTTCTGCAGCATTTTTACAACCCATCATTTGATAATAATCAATATCTTCTGTAGAAATCTAGTAGAAATCATAGTATTACTCTATGTGGCACATTTGATAGTAACTTACATAGTTTGTAAAAAGTCCAACCTTTTCTATTTTCCAACCAGAAACATTATGTGGCTCAAAAGATAGTGATACTTGACCAGCACCTGTAAATGTGACTGGTTTCCAAGATATATTTCTGTATTCTTCTTTATCACACTGATCTTCAACAACCTATGATATTATACCTTATTTAATAGGTATAATCACTCATGCTTTAAATAATACCTTTTTGCAACCTTGTAGTTGGCATAAAAAAATAAATTGCACCAATAGTTCTTCTCTGCTGCCAATTTTCTTATCAGCTTGTGCTATTAAATACCTCCTGGGTATGGCTTTGTATGCTCTTTTCTGGACAGCAACACAATTAGAGCAAAAATGAGGTGATGAAATTTTAAAAATTTGTGATCCAGATGCAAGTTCGAGTTTTGATGCATCATTCTCTCGGAAACTTATAACATCAGAGCATTCATCATCATGTGCTGTTAGTATGGTGAACTGCTGTAAATTATCTTCACTAGAAATGACAACATCGTGAGGAATATACAGCTCAGCACATTTATCCAGCTTTCTGTCAATGTGTACCCATACAATAGGAGTGACTGGTACATAATCACCAAACTTAAACTTATCACTGAGCAGACATGCTCCAAACCATACAGTAGTTGACTCTTGTACTGCTCCCTCTGGAATAACAAGAGTTATGCCAGATTGATCACAATGATGCATTAAACCATCATTAGCTTGTAATTTTAACTTAATTAACTTACCAAAAACATCTGTAGTCAAAACAATTATAGATAGAAAAATGAATGATTATACTTTCTATAGCTTGAAATTTTCTATCCAGTAAAACATTTTCAGGCTTTAATTGCTGTTTGTAAACTGACTCTGTTTTTCTAAAATTAGCTTCCCCTGTATCTGTTTTATAATGCGAACTGTTTATTATTTGTTATCTTACCATTTCCTTTATCTTCAAAATGTAATGTATTGACTTTATCTTTACATTCAAGATTAGCACATCCAACATCAGAAAGCTTGGATTGTTCTGTTATAATAGTATTTAGATCCAACATAAATTAATTTGATGTCACATACTGCTTGTTTCTAATGTCGGTAAAATTGCCTTTGTTTCAGCAGGTGTTGTTGAGTGAGTTATACTACTTTCTAAAAAAGAATTTCATATAAATATTGCTATTTTACTAGTTCATAAAACAATTGGTAATACCTTTTATGTCACTTAATGCGTGTTTTCTGCCTGTATTTTCTGTAGTTCTACCTCTCGTGCAATCATCAGCTGTTGAATCACTGTCTGAAGAAGTATAATCTATTAATCTTCTTCCTTGTCTATGTGCTGTTGCTGAAGAAAGGTATCTCCTTCGATCATCTGTTGAATAATAGCCACTCTCTGGATCTGAAAAAGTGCAAGCCTCTTGTCTTCGTGTTCTTATTGTAGGTTTTTTAAAAACAATTGGGCTGTCAGTAGCATCAGTATCAGAATCAACTCCTTCATCTGTAGCATAACTATAATTACGATAACCTTCAATGGAATCTTGACTTCTATTGACATCATGCAATCTTTGTTGCGTAATAATAAAAAAATTTTGATTATTTTGGGCAGCCACACTAGGTATAGAATTTGATTGCAAAAGAGGTTCCTGGTCATTCTTTTGTGGAAGAAAATTTAAACATGCTTTGCTTAGTGCAATAATAATTGTGAACACTATTAGCAGTACTGCAGTCAGAGCAATTATTAAAATAAAAACAATACCAAGAGTAGCATCAATGAGGTTTCCATTCTTGAGGTAAATGTGAGCGACTGTAGAACCATTATATTTTGCAAGAATAGAGTTACTGTTTTGAAAATTAAAGCTTTGTCCTTCACTAGATCTATCATTAAGAACTGGTTTTGTACTAAATGGTAACATGTAATATCCAATTGATGCATTAAATGAAACTTCAACTTGAACACTGTAATCATGAATACTGCTTAAGTAATCAAATGGATAGGCAAAATGCACAAGAGTAAAGTAATAAGCTGCAGACTTCTTCATATCAGAACCAGAAAATCTAAAGAAAAGTGATTTGCTATTAGTGCTGTTAAATAATTTGCTTTTGGCAGGTTGATATGTTTGTTTTGATATAAAATAATTGTACTTTGTCTCGTCATCAAAAATGGAAAAGCAAAATTGAAGACCAGTATCATTAGGCTTTGATACCATCTTGATTGTGTAATTAAAATCAGTTTTTTCAGATCTGACGACATAAAGATACTTGCTAATAATGCATGGAAAACTTGAGCAATTAACGTAACTATGTACTGTCTCATGAAGAACAGAAATATTATTCCAAGGAACAGCATATATTTCAATACTTGAGTTACCATTTTCATTATTTAAGTCAACATCAATTTCAGATGATGTGAATGAGCTCAGATTTTGATGCAGCATCGTAAATCCTTTTTGATCTGCTACTACTGCATAATCAGAAAATTTCCATGGGTTGATTAAAAGTAATGTAAGAGATCCCACTAGTATTAGGCATGTTGCCAATAAAAAGATGCCTAACAAAATTAATAATAAAATAAGTCATTAGATTTACTATACAGTGACCTTACCAATTAAAATAGATCTACATAATTTTCCTTTTTTCAGTGAAACTAAATATTTAATAAAAGTTGAGCAACAATTGATGTAAACACATATTATTAGCAAAATAACTAGGATAGAAACACCCAAAAGAAGTAGAAACATGGATAGTATGATTAAGTACACTGTTAATCCACCACCATATAAGACTGGTTGTGTGTCAACTGTCAATTCATCAGGGCTGGTTGAGTTGGCAAAAATACAAATATTTTGTTTGTTATTAAGGCACATCCACTTGTTACAAATATGAATAGAACAGTTTGGACTCTTAATTGACAAGTTTGAACATTCTTTGTCTGAATTAGAAAGTTCAAAGTAAGTGTGAGCAACATTTACTATGGCACTGATTTCTGATACTGACTGTGGTATTTCTACACCAACATAATAGATTCCTTGTACTTGGTCAATGTTAAAAGTTACATTTTTATTTTCCAGTAGACAATCTGAACGTGAAACATACCTTGTAAAGTTGTAGTAGTCAGGCAAATTCAAAAATTCATTGTAAGCGTCATGTGAATTCATTAATACAAAACGTAAACATGTCTCTGTCAAGTTTGGAGATGATGAAGCAATATTTGTGACAATGTATGTAATTTCTGATCCCATTGACAAAACTAATGGAATACTATAATCATAATTGAAACCATATCGAGATGAATTAGAGTTGTGACTAGCTCGAATTTTGCGCGTTTGAAAAATGGAAGCAAAAGAAGTGTTTACCAGGCTACAAGGTAATTTAAACACACTTACAGTTTCTGCAACAGAAAAGATTTGAGTAATTTTAATAGATGACATCGACTGCACCTGACCCACTAAAGTAGGATTTTTATCAATTGTAACTGTTTTAGTAGTGTTTGACAAAGATTCCACTGAATTGAATTGTAAAGCAATAAAGAGGGTAATGAATGCTAAAATAAATGCTGTGACTGCTGCGCCCTGCCAAATAAAACAGCATCTGTCATAACGACATAGAATGCCTCCTATTAATATTGATGAATAATAAAGAAATAATTATATTTAACTCACTTTTATTAGGCACATATGTAATGACATTAATGCTTTTATTCTGAGTTCCTAATATGGAAAAAAGAAATTTATCTCAGCGTAGTAAGAAAGTTATCATAATTAGTATCATATAAGCTATTTATAGTATTGTGGCTACCTTTTGAACACCTGTAACAACAGAGGCAGACCACTACTCCAAATATGGTAATGGAAGCCACAGTAACAAAAATTGCTGCCATAGTGAAAATGATTATTCTTTTTTTCCATGAGAGCCAAAACGTTTCAAATATTGTGTATTCCAGCAAAACGGGCTCAGTTGATTGAAATGCTATGTAATTTATTGCAGAATTTTGGCAGGTCAAATAGTGATCACAAAGCTTCATCTCACAGACAGATCCAGGAGTTAAGGGGTTGTTACAGTCACTTGATGAGAGGTTATGTAGTTTGGAAGTGTCATAGTAGCTACGATTGACTGTAATATTAATAGGTAAAGCTGCTGAGAGATTAGAATTAGCTTCAATGGCAACATAATACAGGGACGCTTCACTGATATGAAACAGAACTGAAGGACTAGATCTAGTACTATTTCTGAAGGTTTGCGGACAATTAAAATGACCATCTGTTAAAAACTGAACGTACTGCTCCCTTTGAGTGAATAAACACAATTGGATACTATTTGTTGTGTTTGTAGGTGTATATTTCAAAAAAGAATTAGGAAGGAGATAGATAGGCTCATCATACATCAAAAAATTGCATCCTGTACGAAACCTTTTATTTGGTAGCTCAAGAGACTGCTTTGATTCCAACTTGAAGGTTTCAGTTAAACTCACAAAGGAAAGTGACGGTTTTGCAGATGAAGTGAAGACCACAGCTTTACTGATGGCGGGATTGCTGGAGTTGACCATGCGAAAGGTGTAAGAGGAAGCTTCTGTAGAATAAATAGAGATAACCTCTGCACCATACTTTCCTGATGTGTCTCCGAAATTTAAAGTGATGATTTGTGAGCTAAAGCATGGGATTGCACTAATTCCTAAAGATAATATGGCAGCAAAAGTGAATAATGGTACCAGGGCGAACAGCAACAGCCTGCATTGTTTATCTTTGGAAACCTAAAGTAAAGTATTTGTAAAAATTGTAGATCTATATATAGCCTAAAATACCAACTTACAAGTAACTGGTAACGAGACTTCATTGGCTACTTGAACTAAAGGGCGTCAATGCACAATCGACAACACCGCCCCTAGCTAGCTGCACCATCCAGCCCCACCCCTTTTTGATATGCAACCACTGCATAAAAAGTTGTCACATGATGCAATTGCTTACACTACTCAAAAACAATGAAGAGATTGCTTTTATCTGTTTTAACATGTTTACTTATCACTACATCTTCTCAAGAAGCTCAAGAGGCGTGGTACTTGCAAGAAAAGGCCAGTTCTGGAAATTTTACAGTCTCAAAACCTGGATATAGGCCAATCATAAAGTCACAAGGAGAAGGTTCAACAGGTGGAGACTATTTTGATGATACAGCAAACATCAGTGCTACCATTGTTAACATTTATAACATTGGCATCATGTCCATGTATCAGGTAGACCTACTCCAACTTTCCTATATTCTTGCTAATGGCTCACTCTACAACTCTTCCTGTCATGGCAGCAACATGTTATTCTATCCTGATAACTTCACATTGGAAAAAGGTGAATATGTAGAAAAGATTGAAGGGAGCACAAGTGATTCACTTGTTAACCAGCTCACAATTACTATCAATTCGCCAAGTGAAAATTCTAAGCGAGTCATTGGTCCATATGGTACGACAATAGGGAAGAAAAATTTTACATTTGAAGGTTATATTTTTGCATTCCATGGAAGAACAGGGAAATATGTGCTTCAAAACATTGGAGTCTACTACATACCTCCGGCCAAAGAAACTACTTATTTTGGAATCCCTAGTCAAAACTTTAAGGAGGAACCAGACGCAATGAATCCACCAGTCGTAAAAGTATCAAAGGTCATCATCTACCACAGTGACAGGATTAACTCTCTTCAGTTGGAATACAGGTTGCATGGTGGTGAGACAAGGCTGGGTAGGCAGTATCCCAAAGGACCTGCCAAAGGAGTGCTTACTACTCTTGTCTTTAGTGACAATGAATGGTTGATTGGTGCCTATGGAAAAATCAGAAAGGGAAGGTCCCAGAGTCAGATCCAGATAACTTTTGTCACAAGGAAAGCTGACGGAAGTCGAAGTCAATATGGTCCGTATGGAGGAGCTTACAATGATGATGTCATGCCAACAACAAAGTTTAATATGACAGGGACTATCATTGGATACAGGGGATACTTTAATAATGGATTAAACTCAGTGGGGTTCTTTTATTTTTGAATGCTATAATAAGTACATGTATTTTATATATATTTTTACTGACCCATTTTACTTTATATTGCTTCTTAAAAATAAATACTAAAAATTAATGTTAAGCAGGCAGCCTGGCACAAAAGTATTAAGGTAAAAGAAACATGGCAAACAACATACCATTATGTTCATTTTCTTTAAAATGGTCATAACTTGAAAAATTGAAGTCAGAATCAGCTAAAACTTTTTACACAGCATAACTACATCAATATGTAACAGAAAATGTAATAAAAAGTTGGGGTGATTTTGGAGCCATTTTTTGGAAAAAACCATGGGCAGCCTTGGGAAATTTTTAGAAATTTGACGTTTTAAAAAAATGGTCATAACTTGAAAAATTGAAGTCAGAATCAGCTCAAACTTTCTACACAGCATAAGTACATCAATATATATCAGAAAATGTAATAAAAAGTTGGGGTAATTTTGGAGCCATT